AAAAAAAACAGAATTGTCTGTGGTCACATATGTTTGTATAGCTCTTATTTTCTTGTTTCAATTATTACCAATCTTATATTATTTTATTATTATAATTATCGGGTATTAGTTTAGAAGGAACACAATCAAAACTAAAATAATTGATTATTGTGATGAAGTAACTAGGTTTTCACACTATATAAGAATATATGAATAAATAAATGAATTAGAAAAATTTAATCTGAAACCATTCAATTTTATAACTCTAAACAAAACCAGTAGATACCTGTCTGGCTGGCTTGTTTTTCTGTCCACACGCCTGCTTGATGGCGGGAGAAACGATTACAGCCAAGAACACGAGTAACACGACCACGACGAACCTCATTTCGGTACTGTGAATGAAAATCCGGTGAAAGAGATAAGAAAAGGTTTACAAATTGTTCCTGGGCCTTGTTTAACGCTCTATCCTTAACAACATAATTTCTTTAAACAACTTAAAACTATTATAATTAAGGAGAACAAAATCAAAAAACATTGTGCTTGACACATAAAACGATGGGCTATTTTATCACAACTGAAAAAAAATCAGCATTCTCGTTTATGGCATGCGTTGCTACGTTCATGTATCTTACACTGTGTCTTTAAAATATGACGACTYGCTGCTCAACAGAACCGCATGCGTGAGTTGAATTTGTTTGATTTGGTTCTTTCCCTCGCCATGAATTTTTTTTGAATTAAGAGTTGTATCGAATAAAAATAGGGTATCGAATAAAAAGTCAATATGTACGTTAGTGAAAAGTGGGCAAACATTGAATCCAGTATATATAATGATAGGCATGGATTGTTATCTTTCAGTTTCTTTTCTCGTTCTCCCGACTCAGTAATAGAAAACCCGCGTCGTTCTGGGACAGTTATCTATTATGCCTAAAGGTTCCAAAATCCGTTTCCCAAAAACGATACAGTAATTCGTCGGGGTTTTTTTCGTTTTGTTTTGTTGTTGTTGTTGTTGTTATTGTTATCTTAAAAACCCTTAACAAGGCATTCTTAGATAATGAGCAATAAATATCGTCAAGTTACTTAAACACTCTTTCAAATATGACTCGTATTTCTCCACCAGGCGATCATATTTAGCTTACATTGCTATATAAATTAATTATCAGGTCGAATAAAAAATGAAATTCCCCATAACTTACGAGTAAGATGTCTTGTAGTGAAGTGTGTATCCTTGCTCAATGATGTCCTAACAGACAATGGCCTTCACTTAGCTTCATCTGGTAAGTAAAACCACAATTTTCAACTTGTGGTCATTTTTACTTGTTGAAACAAGTTTTCCATCACTGTTTGTTTAAGGTAAAGACTAAATACAAACACCTTTGATGGTTTGTCCCATACACTTCATTAAGCAGCCGCACCCATTGGTTGATATATTTGGAACTACGTTTTTAATTTACAACGCGGAAAAAGTGTATAATATATCAATTAGTAATTCGGTCAAGTTGAAGTCTAGAGAGCAGAATGTCGGAATATTTGTAATTTTTCGATACTTTTAGCTTTTGTTTTTTACCCCGTATTACCCCACAGGAAGCCCAACCAAGTTATCAGACGTTGTRTAGATTTTTTTCGTTTTGGAGGGGGGTGCATTATCCATCATTATAGATGAAAGACAATTTCATCCTTCTAGAATACAACTTCGCAAAATTAATTGAATACAGCATAAAAAGACCCGCATAAAAGAACCGCTATTTTCCCAAGTCAAGCTGTAAATGGTTGTTATATCATTAATTGGCATCTAGTGAGAAATCAGGCTGAGTAGGTTTTTAACAATACTAGTTTCTTATTTAGAAGCCAAAAAACAATAGTTCCTGATAGGGTGTTTTTATCTAGACCTTTGGTTGAGATTTTGCAAATGGAGGTCCCTTTTTGTATGGTCTGTACTCTTATCGAACAGGGAATGGTGCAAGCATATGATCCAAACTCAAGTGGAACCACGAGCGCAGCGAGATCAGTCTTAGCTATGTTCTTTTCTCTGATAAAGCACTCGTGAAGCTGTAGAACACTCAAGTTATAGAAATCACTCACCTACTTCCCGTGATTCCATAACGTTTTTCGTGTCCTACAGCTTCAGGAGTGTCTTATCAGAGAACAGAACCTAGCTAAGCCTGATCTATTCGCTTTGTTCATTCTTGTTTGACTATGAAAAATGTTTCAAATTATTTTTTTACTTCTCTTACACCATCACCGGTCAAGCAAAAAGCTTCTAGTTTGAGTGAAATAAGGTCATTGTAATAGTCGCAGTACAAACGAAAGAAAGCTTTACTCGTCGAAATGTAGTACCAATCAAAAGTGCTTCAAAACAACATATTTTCCTCTTTTAGAGCAAAGACGTAATTTTTAATAAAAACAAGACCCTGGTGGCAGGGTAGACCGGGTTTCCTGGTTTCAGAGCCTCTAAGAATCCAAAGGAGAAGTGGAAAAAAGTCGCGAAGTTTCGAAAGACGGTGACAGAGCTACTAATGTACAATAAAATCCAAATTGGGCAAAACGTTTATCACATAATTTCATAATAATCGGGAAGAATTGTCCAGTTTCAATTCCAGCAGTCCAGCAGGTTCGTCAACCCGGAATTCGGATTTTCGCATACGCAATTATGTCAGAGAGTAGACATTCTGTCTCCACGCACGCAATTTAAAAAATAAAAAAATAAAGAAAATCAAAACTCAAAAAAAAAATTTTTTTTTTTTTCAATATTTGCCTGGTGTTTTTTGTAGTAGCTTTCAGAGCCAAAATACCTTATGAAAATACCTTAATAAAATATAGCATCAAATGATCAGAATCGGGTCAGCTTGCAAAATAATTTAAAATTCGAAGCTCATTAACACGACTAGTTTATCCCTTAGAACTGATCTTCGATTACAGAAAATACTGCTTCGAATAGCTGAATCAAAGCATGATGGTTAACCACAATAATCTATTGCCCATTAGAAATCCTCGCTTAGAAGCCATTAACATCTTACTTAAAAAATCCTTGTTTACGATTACGATGGTTAATTAATATTTCTAGTTCGGCTGTCTGAATTACAGCAGTCAACAAAATAGAGCATGCGTAAACACAAACTTATGTCACGTGATGTGCTAGCTCCGCCCTCTCATCGTCACTTAGCAACATAGTGACATTGATGACAGGTGGTACAAGCTAATTATAGCAGAAGCCCGCAAAGGTCTCTGTAAGGGTAAGGACCTGGGTAGTATTGCAATATTTGTCCATTTTGTCGTGGAGGAAATCATAGAAAAAAGCCAAGATATTTTATGAGCGGTTTACCACAGGTAATCCGCTAATAAATAAGTATTTTAAATTTAAAATGTCAAAATGCTTTGGATTGAAAAACTGAATTTCTGTGACGTCGTTTTTATGTTTAATTTTGTATCGAAAGCATGGTTTAGACGTCATATCTTTTATGTTTCTATATCTGATAAAATAGTATCCTTTTCTCTAGTAAAATTAGCTTACCTTTGCAAGTTTAGTCTCCTTTGCAGCCGTCAGTCTTTAGTGGGAAAGGACTTTAGGACCGACAGTAAAGTCTACGATAAGATTTGATTTAGACCACTCCTATATGAAAATAMTAAATGGCTGGCAGTTTCATTTTTYCCCCATGGATTTTCCTCTGCTAGTTTTCAATTTGACGGATTTGGGTAGACAGGAATAGGTTAGTCAAAGACTTCTATTATTTCAAAAAAATCAATAAGAAAAACTGAAAAAAGAGCAAAAGCGTAAG